GCAGACACAGTCAGCGCCGCTCAGCACCTCCCCCCTTCCCCACGGGCTGCTCACACTGGGGCCCTCTCCAGCTCCCTCTTGTCCCTACTCCCTTTCCCCCAGGAGTGCTGCCCTCGGGCTTCCCACAGCTCCTCTGCCTCCCGGCCCCCTGCCCCATTCCCCTGGTACTCTGGGCTGGGTCACTACACTTCCTTCATGTCCCCTTCCCTGCGTGTCTGCTCTTCCCACAACTCCTGCCCCGTGGCCAATATCTCCTCCCTTCCTGCAAGCCCCTCCAGTGCCAGTTGTTGCTGTTACCTGCCCCAGATCAGCACTGGTCCAGTCCTTGGCTTCCCAGCCCTGTTCAGCTGTTACCTGGTAATGCCACTGAACTGAAGGAAAGGGGCTTCTGTGGGGAGAGCCCCTTCCTCTGGAGATAGTGAGGCAAGGGAGGACACAGAGTGAGCAACCCCTGGAGCACTAAGCTGATTCACTGAAGGATTGTGCCTCATCCAGGCCACTGCTGTCCCCCTGCAACATGGCTCTATGGGGCAGTGTAATGTGCTGCTCTGTGCTCATACCTTCAATGCTGCCCCTTCGTTCCCTCCCTACATGGATGCTTTGGGGGTCATCTCTGCTCCCAGGAACCAGCAGTAGGCACCAGGGCCCACTCCTGCTTCCCAGTGAGAGAAGGCTCCATAGGCTAAGAGTCCATCACGGCTGCCTCAGGCAGGGTTCCCCAGATTTCACCTGTGACAGCACAGCTCAGTCAGTGGTACAGCAAGCCCCCCCAACACACACACAAAGGGCAGCCTGGACGAGGAGGCGCTGGGACTCCCACTGTTCCAGCTGGCTGTTAAAAGCCCTGCTCAGGAGCACATATGCTCAGGACTGCTGTGCCTCCCGGGGCCTGGGGTACAGTTTGTGCTGCGAGTTTGGAGTCATTTGCTGAAGGGACTCCCAGATCCAGCTACCGCAAATGACCTCACTTTCTATCAGCTGGGTCTTAGAGTTTTGCACGTGGCCAGGGAAAACCGATGCCCAGTAACCACAGGACTCTGATCCCTCTCCTAGCTCCCGTGGGCTTACATGGAAACTGGTCCCTAACCTGCACCATAACTGGGGTGGCCACAGACAGGGATGTGCACCAAAGTCAGTGAACTGTGTGTAGCAGAGCATCATACCCCATCCTGCCCCCTCCCTGTCCCCCGTCAGCTCCTTTGCACTGGCATCCGTTTGCCTGGAGAGTGGGATGAAGAGGGAGGGCAGGTCGTGGCGTACGCGGCTGCACCCACATCTCAAAGAACCAGTTGCCATTCCTTCTTCCAGTGGTGGCAGATGTGTAGTCTGCTCTGGAGACTTGCAAGCAGTACCGGCTCCATGTCTATTCAAACAGAGACAGCAGAACTGCTCTTCCCCAGCTTACGCCCCCCACAAGCAGTCCAGACATTGCAGTTTGCTAACCCTGGGCACTGCAGACTAAGCAGCAACGCTGCATCTAGCTACTATGGGAACAACCCCGAGTAATGCCACTAAGGCAGCCTGCACCCCTGGCAAGTGAGCCCAGAACCTGCGTGGAGGCTGGCGTTGGCTACAGTGTATGCTGTCATCGTGCAGGAAGTGTCTGGAAACAGTCTGAGCTGAAACCACTTGAGCGCTCATTTGGTCTGCACAAGACACATAACACTGGAGAGAATCAAATAGGCTGAGTCCCGTCTGGAGAGAACACACCCACTGCATGAAGGCGCAGTTCATCTGCCTGGGAGTGCAGCTTAGGAAACATACAGGCAACTGTGTTGTTTAGTTGAGATGAAGCAGGGAAACCACTTTAGACCAAAATTTTGCATGTGGCCTTAAGGGTCCTTTGTCTTTCAAGTAGCTGAGTGTCTGTTGGGCCTGGCCTTAGGGCTTGAGTTCACGTAAAGAACAGTGCTTAGCGCCAGGCTTAACTAACCGCTCATTAAACATAACTAGTGAGCTAATGGGGATAAAACTAACTAGTGGCTGTGTCTACACTGGCACCCCTTTCCGGAAAAGGGATGCTAATGAGACCAGTCGGAATTGCAAATGCCCCGGGGATTTAAATATCCCCCGCGGCATTTGCATGAACATGGCTGCCGCTTTTTTCCAGCTCGGAGTTTTGCCAGAGAAAAGCGCCAGTCTAGACGGGATCTTGTGGAAAATAAGCCCTTTTCTGGAAGATCCCTCATTCCTACTGAAAGTAGGTGGCAGGTGTGTAGTCTGCTGGGGTGGGCAAGCAGCTACTGAAAGTAGGAATAAGGGATCTTCCGGAAAAGGGCTTATTTTCCACAAGATCCCGTCTAGACTGGCGCTTTTCTCCGGCAAAGCCCCGAGCCAGAAAAAAGCGGCAGCCATGTTCCTGCAAATGCCGCGGGGGATATTTAAATCCCCGGGGCATTTGCAATTCCGACTGGTCTCATTAGCAGCCCTTTTCCGGAAAGGGGTGCCAATGTAGACACAGCCACTATGTACAAAGCACCCAGCGTAATCTCACCCTGGGGCAATAACTCAGCAACTGCAAGTCAGGCTGAAGGTAGTGAGAAGGAGCTGACTATGGGGGGGGGCTTTGCCCTTCCATGGCCTCAGGAGGGGCCATGAGGAGGCCCTAGCTGCTTGCCCACCCCAGCAGCTTCTGCTACACAAAGTTCTCTGCCTTGGGTGTGCTGGGCACTCATGCACTTGCATGGGAACAGGTCTGCCCTGAGCTATCGGCTGCTCAGTTCCCTTTTACATGCCGCTGGCTGTAGTCGCTGGCTTTGCTTGGCCTGGGTTGCTGGCTGGACTGACCCCTCCCCCCTGCCATTTCCCCGTCCTTTTCCCCTGGGCGCTCAGAAGCGTGGATGCCTGCAGAGCCCCCCAGGCTGTTTCTCTGGGGAGCCTTTGTGCCAGCTGAAGGCTCTGAGTGCCCCATTCGCTGGTAGCAGCAGCAGGAGCCCCTGGAGAAGTGGGTCACTGCAGAATGAAACAGGCAGGGCGTGTCCCTATGTCTGGGGAAGGTGGGATGGCAGTGGGGTCACAGCATTGGGGCAGCAATCAGACCCCTTCCGGGCCACCTCGGCTACCCCACCCCCTCCACACGTACACCGCCAGGTAGCGAGCCCAGGCCCAGCGCCGCACCTGCATGGGCTGGCTCCAGCAGTGGATGCAGAGTGCGCCATTGAGCTGCCTAGGGGCAGAGAGGAGACAAAGGTCAGAGCACTAATTAGCAACAGCAACCCCTGCTCTGGTTCTCAGTGCAGCTCCATGTGAGCAGGCAGCAGGATGGGGGAGGGGGAGAGACCCCCCTCCCAGGCCCCACCAGGGTACAGCCATGACTGGAGAGATCCCTCTCCCTTCCCCCGCCACACATCAGCTCCCACCCTGGCAGGACAGAGGCTCCTCTTGCACCCTTTGCCCCCGGGAGGGCCCCAGGGTGAGCCCATGTGGGACAAGGTCCCTGTGGCCACCTTGCAGCAGGGACGGGGCCTGGGGCACTGGGACAATTATGGGGGGGCTGCTGAGTGTCACTGAACCGACCGTAGGCTCTGCACATGATGGAAACCACTCCGAGCCGGGGGTGCAGCAGCAGCCCTAGACCCAGCGCCCACGGATGGGGCCCAAATAACGCCCTCCTTCAGTGGGGGGAGTATTTCACTGGAACAGCCCAGCTCTGCCACACATGGGGGGGATGGAATTTCCCTGGAACAGCCCAGATCTGTTGTGGGGGGGAGAGGCAGGTTTCCCTGGAGCAGCCCAGCTCTGCGGG